ACACCTTACTGTCTAATAGCCTTAGGAGCCCCAGAGAAGTCTGTTCTGCAGCCTCCCAGCCCCCTTGGATGTCCCTTCCCTCCCTCCAGGCCCAGCACATTCCTTACCACAGTCTCAGGTCCAGGGGCAAGGGGCTGGTAACAGGGTTCTGGCACCCCCTGAGGACCTCCTTTCCCCCTAGTATGAGAAGATCCTGAAGCTTACTGCTGATGCCAAGTTTGGTGAGTACCCCAATCAGGAACCATGGCCTTCCTTAACCCTCCTGCTTCAGGGGAGGAGAGGAAGGGAAGAAACATATGGATAGCCCTGTCCCCATCCGCTGCCACCTCCTGCTGACCCAGTAGTAGTGCCCAGGGTTCAAGAATCTCGGGGCCCCAAACTGAAGATAATGGGGCAGGGAGATGGCTGGGGCCACAGTGACACTGCCGCACCTGTGGGCCTCTAGAGTCTGGAGATGTGAAGGCCACAGTCGCAGTGCTGAGTTTCATCCTCTCAAGTGCCGCCAAGCATAGTGTGGACAGCGATTCCTTGTCCAGTGAGCTACAGCAGCTGGGGCTGCCCAGAGGTATGCAGGGTGGACAGGCAGGTGGGAGACCTGTGGGTAACCTGGAGGATACGCTGAGGCCTTGTTGACCCTGAAATGTACCCAGTCCTCTGTGGGTCCTGGATCCTGAGACCCACCAGTGCCAGTCCCCCCCTGCCTCCTCAGCAGAGCGCCACCTCAGAGCTCCATCTCCCCACAGAGCATGCCACCAGCCTGTGCCGCTGTTATGAAGAGAAGCAGAGCCCCCTACAGGAGCACCTTAGGGCCTGCAGCCTGCGTGGTGAGTATGAAAACGGCCTTGGCCGGGTGGGGTGGGGGTGGGGGTGTATGTGGGCTGTACTCTAGAAGGTACAAACACAAGTCAACTGCCATTTCTCCTGGGGAAGCCTTAACCACAATTGTACACAGAAGAGTTTAGAACTGGCCAAGGATTTAATGACTACGGCCTGAGTTTCTTTTTTCTGAGGCCCATGGTAGATATTCAAGCACCTGTCCTACAACAGGCCTGGGTTGGAGGCTTTGTAGGCCATGCAGCCTTGAAGGGTTGTGGATGAGCCCCATTGTGGAGGGAGGTGGAGGACTTCCAGCTTGCTGATGATTGATAGCTGCCTAACTTCTTGCCTGCAGTGAACAGACTGGCCAATGTGGGCTGGCGTGTGGACTACACCCTGAGCTCCAGCCTGCTCCGTTCTGTGGAGGAGCCCATGGTGCACCTGCAGCTAGAGATTGTGCCTGCCCCGGGTGCCCTGGCCCAACCTGTTTCCATGTCCCTCTCAGCAGACAAGTTCCAGGTTCTCCTGGCAGGTAAGGCTGGACCTACAGAGGGTGGGGGCCCTCCTGGGTCTGGCTGTCTTGGAACTGGCTCTAAAGGCCAGGCTGGCCTTAGACTGGCTTCTGTCCCTTACCACTCCCCTTGCACCCCCTTGTCCCCTGCAGAACTGAAGCAGGCCCAGACCCTGATGACCTCTTTGGGCTGAGAAGGGTGTTCCTGGCCTCTGTGACGCTTCCTCAGTGCTCCATACTTCTCTTCCAAGGCTGGCCCTGACCTCTTGGGTCTCTGACTGCCTGGCTTTTTACATAGTGTTCCTGGGTGTCTTGCCCAGAATTCCCTTCTTTCCTTTGAAAGGAAGTACTTGTCAACCATTTTACAGGAAAAAAGAATAAACTTGTGTACAGACAGCAATGTGTACGGGGCTTGCTTGTCTACACACACAGCAAGTGGGATACAGGAGACATCAAAAAGGAAGGAGGAAACGCTGGGGAAGGAGGAGGTCAGCATTTTGTAACTGCCAACCAGACCTGTGGAAAGAGCTGTGCCCAGTGGTGCAAACCTATCATCCCAGATGCTCCAGAGGCTGAAGCAGGTTCATGGGGCCTTCTGGGGAGTGAGACATGGCACTCACTAAGTAGCATTTACCCAGAATGGCTTCAGGCTCCAGCATAAGAAGAAAAGGCTGATTTCCATCGTAACATCTCTGTAGCCTTTTAGCCAGGCAAGTGGCTCACATTTCTAATCTCAGTTCTTAAGAGGCTGAAGCAGACCGGGCGTTGATGGCGCACGCCTTTAATCCCAGCACTTGGGAGGCAGAGGCAGGCAGATCTCTGTGAGTTCGAGGCCAGCCTGGTCTACAAGAGCTAGTTCTAGGACAGCCTCCAAAGCCACAGAGAAACCCTGTCTCGAAAAAAACAAAAAAACAAAACAAAATAAAACTGTTGTCTTGGGCTGGAGAGATGGCTCAGAGGTTAAGAGCACTGGCTGCTCTTTCAGAGGTCCTGAGTTCGGTTCCCAGCAACCACATGGTGGCTCACAACCATCTGTAACGAAATCTGGTGCCCTCTTCTGGTGTGCAGGCAGAACATTGTATACTTAGTAATGAATAAATAAAGTATTAAAAAAAACAAAAACATTTTAAAAACTGTTGTCTTAAATCATTGTTTTTTAAGACTGCTGATATAGTTCAAGGTTAGAGAGTTTGTCCAGCATTCCAGAGGCCCTGGCTTCAATCCTTAATACAAATAAACAAAAATAGATGATTGTGGCAAATCATCAAGAGTTCAAAAACCTCTGGATAATCTTGATGAGGGGTTTCCGTGAGATGGCTCCGTAGGTCACCTGCCCCCAAGACTGGCAACCTGAGTTCAATCCCTGAGGCCTTCATGGGGAAAGGAAGAATGGACTCCAGAAAATTGTCCCCTGACCTTCACAGATACACTCCAAAGCACATGTGAGCCCCCAACCCTTACACAGTAAAACGCAATTCTAAAAAATTAAACTGGGAAATTGAGTGGTGATGGTGTACATTTTTAATCCCAGCATTCAGGAGGCAGAGGCAAGTGGATCTCTATGAGTTCAAGGCCAGCCTGGCCTAAGGAGCAATTTCCAGGACAACTAGGGTTACACAGAGAAACCCTTTCTTGAAAAACAAACAAGTTAAGCTGGGTGTGGTAGTCAGTACTGGTAATCCCAGCACTCCTGTAGCAGAGGCAGGTGACTCTCCGGTGAGTTCAGAGCCAGACTGGTCTATACAGCCGGTTCTAAAAAAAGCCTGTGGCTACATAGTGAGGCCCTCTCTAAAAAAAAAAAAAAAAAAGTTAAATGTTGATGTGAGAGTGGATATTTGCATGGGCTGAAGAAACAATCACTCATAACCCAGATGCCCCCCGGTGGTAACTACATAAACAAAGTGACTTATCTACACAAGAAATTATTTTGGCTTTCAAGAGGAAAGAGCTATAACAGCAGGAACAAATTTGGGAGTAGAAGATAAAATACACTCCCTGAATTGTGATAAGAGCAGTTAACATAGAGGGCTCAGGGGTAAAGGCTCTTGCTTTTTGATCCTGGAAACCCATGTGAAACAGGGGGATGCACTTTAAATCAAGATGGGAGGTGGAGGCAGGAGAATTGCCCAGAAGCCCTGGGGATGAGTAGGCTGGAGCACGGTACAGCAGCAGAAGCGAAAGAGGGCTGCGTCAACTGGCAGGAGAGAACTGACTCCTGTAAGCTGTCCTCTGACCTCCACTAGGCATGAATGTCCCCCCATCAAGTCACAGCAAACAATCTAAAAACAGAGGACAGCATGAGAACCTTCCCAGTAAAGTTTTGTTGTACAGCCATGCTAACTACAGAGCCCATGCTGCACTTACTCATCTTGGGCAACTGAAACTTTACTCCTATTATCAACTTCCTTTTCCTCTTTCTACAACCATCCTACTCACTCCTTTTGTGTGTTTGATTAATTTAGATGCCCCATATAAACAGAATCTCAGTGTTTGTCCTTCTGTGACTGATTCACTACTTAGCAAAATGTCCTCAAGATTGTCTATGCTGCTGCCTGTGGCAGGCAATGAATAATATTCCACTCTGCTTGTATCCCACATGCTGTGTTTCTTAAGATTTATCTTTATAATCTGGGGGAGAGGTGTATGTGTGCACACACTCGATAGTTCAGGCTCTCACATGTGAGTACAACTGCCTGATGAATTCAAAGGTTTCAGATCTGCTTGGAGCTACAGCTGTGAGCTGCCATATGTGGGAGCTGAGAACCAGCCTTGGTCATGGTCTTGGTCTTTGGTCGCTGCAGTAGAAAAGTAACTAAGATCACTAAGATTGACTGAGTATGGGAAGATTAAGTGCTTTAACCACTGAGCTATCTCTCCAGCCCAGTATATATGCCACATGTTTTAAAAGTCTATGTATCCATGGATAGACAGTGAGGTGGTTTCCTCTCTGTGGCTGTTATATGTGTGCTTTCATGGGTATTATCTCCTGAGTGTGGGGAGCAGTTGTGTAATTATGTGTATTTGTGGTATCCAGGTGTGGTAGCACATGCCTTTAGTAGTTCCAGCAGAGGCAGGTGGATCTCTGTGAGTTTGGAGCCAGCCTGGTCTATACAGCAAATTCCAGGTCAACTAGGGCTATATGGTGAGATTCTGTCTCAAAAGCACAAAACAAAACAAAATGCAAAATGCCCCCATACTTCAGGGCTGGAGAGATGGTTCAGCAGATATGAGCACTTGCTGCTCTTTCAAAGGACCCAATTTTGGTTCCTAGCACCCTATGGTAGAAGACAACCATCTATAATTCTAGTTACAGGGATCTGGTGCCTTCTTCATCCTCAGAGTACACCAGACAGGCGCATGGAGCACATACATACATCACATACATACATGTAGACAAACAAACACTTATATACTTAAAAACAAAATAAATCTTTTTAAAAACTCATACTCAGCCGGGCGTTGGTGGCACACGCCTTTAATCCCAGCACTTTGGAGGCAGAGGCAGGCGGATCTCTGTGAGTTCAAAGCCAGCGAGTTCCAGGACAGCCTCCAAAGCCACAGAGAAACCCTGTCTCGAAGAAGGAAAAAAAAAAAAAACTCATACTCAAGCCAGGAATACTAGATGTCTTAATTACCTTCCTATTGCTGTGACAAAACACCATGACCAAGGAAGGCAACTTACAAAAGTTTATTGGAGCTTACAGTTTCAGAGGGTGAGTTCATCATGACCGTCATGGTCAGGAGCATGGCACCTGGATGGCAGGCATGGTGCTGGACAGTAGCTGAGAGCTTACCTGTTAAGACACAAACAGGAGGTGGGGTGCTGGCCAGCTAGGAATGATGTGGACTTTGAAACCTAAAGCCCACCCCCCGTGATACCTTCTACAACAAGGCCACACCTCCTAATTCTTCCCAAACAGTTCCTCGAAGTGGGAACCAACGATTTAAAAATATAAGCCTTTTGGGGTTATTCTCATTCAAACCAGCACAGTGGCCCATACCTATAACCCTGGTTCTTACTGGGGAGTCAGAGGAAGGATTAGAGGAAATTGGAGGCCAGTTTGAGTACCAGGCCAATCAGGAATACATAGCAAGACCCTCTTTTTAACCTGGGGGGGGGGGGCGGGGAGTAAATCATGGCTGTTGGTCAGCATCAGGTAAAAGCACCCTGCAGAGGCTTTCTTTCCCTTTTTAATCCTTCTACTTTCACTTCCCAGGGCTTTTTGAGGCTCATCACTAACAGTACTCTCTTCTCTTGTCCTCAACCCTGTCCCCCAACCCCCTGCCGCAGCCAAACAGAACTTCGTCCGGTTCTGCTCCTGTACTTTGCATTGATCCGCTGTGCCTGGCAAAAAAAGTATCTTTTCTACACTTTTGACCAAGCAAGCTTTTGTGCCTAAATCCTGACTTTACCTAAGACTGCCACAGAGCCCCTCCCTCACAGAAGTCTCTTAGCCGGATTCAATTTAAAAGCCCCTGTTATTGCCTGATGCACTTCCAGTTCCGCATGATGATGTTGTTTGTATGTTACGTCTGACTGCATTGACATTTATGGTCCTCTTGGGTCCCCAGGGATTGTTTATCATGCACCTGTGTGTATCTTGCACACAGGTGTGGGTGGCTCTACACAGCAGGTGGCGTTTCCGGCTTAGGGTGTCAACCCTTGCCAGACTAACTGGCAACTTCAACTGCAAACAGCTGCGACTCCGGGCACCCGTTCTGACCGCGGCTCCGCTCTCGGTAAGACAGGGTCTTTCGCCAGGCCATGCGACTGCCCAAAGCTTCCCCCAACACCCGGGGATCCCATTGCATACTCGCCGCCTGCCCGAAGAACTACACTTCCCAGCAGGGCCCAGGGCGGCTACATCGTCCTCTCCCAGCGTGCTCTGAGGTTCCGCAGTCCACTGTGATTAACCCCTTAGTGGCTGCAGTCTGCGGTAGAGCCTCAATCAGCGTAGGTATCCAGCTTGGATGGAGGCATAACGGGTCCTCAAGGGAACTGAAGATCGAAAATAATCTGGGAGTCTGGGAAGGGAGGGAACTCAAGATGTTGTGGGGAGAGTTGCCATAGAGAACCCCGCCTCCTCGCGAAACTAGGACTCTGAAGGTTTTCCGATAATCGAACCCTTGGGCGTCTGCCCTCGCTAAACCTCCCCGTCTTCCCGACATGTACCTTCACCTCAAATCCTGCAAGTAGCAAAGTTGGTGTGAGGGTGTGAGGGCAAAGAACCAGAGCCCTGTCTCTCCTGGGACTCCCACTATGCCTACCCCTCCACTCCACCCCTGGGGTCTGTGAGGATAGGGTTGTGCATAAATTGGAGCATTCCCTCCTCCTGGTTCTGCTCTCTGCCCCAGACTACAGGGCATCTAGGAGGGAGGGAGAGTCCTGTCTTTGTGGTGATACTAGTCTAGGGCTATTGCTGCTGGCCCAACACGCAGTTGAGTTTTTACCTCTATGGTACTAGACATTCGGGGCCAGTCTAAGGTGTGATTGATGAATGATCAGAGCTTTGCCTTTGGAGTGCCAGCAGGCAGAGGCTGGAACAGATGGTGAGAACCTTTGAACTTTGGGAGCTCTGACGTCAAGATGTGGCTGGGGAGAAAGGAGGTCTCCCTCAAACGTCCTACTGTGTGTGGTGGGGGAACAGTAGGGGCAAAGGCCTGGAGATGGGAGGAACAGGTTTGTGGACGAGTGGGAGGGGGGAGCTCGGAGGACAGAAGGTAACAGGCTCCAGCAAGGATCTGAATGGTATCCTAAAACCAGGTGTGGAAGCCCATGGAAGGGGAGCATTAGTGAGCAAGACAGCCATCCTGCCTTCCGGCTTCAGCTTCCTGGAACGCTGGCCTTGCTAGCACTTTGGATGGGAAACAGGGGCTGTGGCTAGGTCAGTATCCTCCTGCCTGTCTTAGAGAGTCCTCTGTCTCTTTGGCTCTCTGCCTTTTCCTGTCAAACCTTGGTGACAGTTCCTTCTGGCACAACCTGTTCTCTTCCCATTCCAGGGGCTGCCGTCCCTCCTGCAGAATGCCAGAGGGCCCGGAGCTGCACCTGGCCAGCCACTTTGTAAACGAGACGTGTAAGGGGCTGGTGTTTGGTGGGTGTGTGGAGAAGTCCTCCGTCAGCCGCAACCCTGAGGTGCCCTTTGAGAGCAGTGCCTATCACATCTCCGCCTTAGCCCGAGGCAAGGAGCTTCGCCTGACCTTGAGCCCCCTGCCTGGTGCCCAGCCCCCTCAGAAGCCACTGTCCCTTGTCTTCCGCTTTGGTATGTCTGGGTCCTTCCAGCTGGCACCTGCAGGTGCACTGCCGCCCCATGCCCATTTGCGTTTTTACACCGCCCCACCTGCCCCCCGGCTTGCCCTTTGCTTCGTGGACATCCGCCGCTTTGGCCACTGGGACCCTGGGGGTGAATGGCAGCCAGGCCGTGGACCCTGTGTCTTGCTGGAGTATGAACGGTTCAGGTAGGACTGGGAATGTGGAGTACCATCCAGGCCCACAAGAAACAACTCCTAGCCCCTGCTGGGCCTCAGTCCCTGGTCTATAGATTGAGATGATATCAGGGCAGGCCTAAGGGCAGTCAAAGGTCTGAGGACACAGAAACAGCATTAGAGTGAAGCTGGTGCCCGGGATCCCAGTGTGCTTCCTGGTGGTCCTGGGCCATCATGGAAGGTAGAGGGCTTTTGTCGCAGCTTAAGACACAAGTCTGCACAGTGGGGAGAGGGTGGTCTAGTGAGCGGTCTTTACACTCTGCCTGCTCACCCGTCTATGTCCTGGGGTCTCCTCTATGACTGCCCCTGTTACCAGCACTTTCCTCTAGAGGCAATAAGAGTCTCTGCTCCAAGACAGGCTCTGTAGTGTACAGCAGTGATAGGTGAATGTGGTCCCTGCGCTCACTGCGCTGGCGATGTGCAGGTAAGGGAGGGGCCAGGACACACAAGATAAATCCACAGGCCTTTGGGCAAGGGTGGGGAGCACACCAGGAATGGCCACACAAGTGTTTGAGCTAAGATCTGGATAGTGGAGATGGAGCCAGCTGTGTAAGCTTGGAGGAGAGTCTTAGCAGGAAGTGAAGGTGTGCCGGCCTGAGGTGGGCCTGGCACTCTCATTTTCCCTCCTGGGAACAGATTCTGTGCCTCTGTCAAGCCCTAGACTTGGTCACATCTCTGCTGTCACAGAAGCAGTTGACTCCTGGCTGGTCCAGGAGAACGATTGTCCATAGCCCTGAGTTATCATTGCTTCATCTTTCCTGGGGAGTTGAGGGGCATAGGCTGCTTGGCAGCAGGTTCTATTTGGTCTCGATAGACCTCAGAACTGTTTCCACAGCCCTCCAGCTGCATGCCTGGTGGTGGCGGGGATCAGCATCACACAGAGGCATCTTTTTTTTTTTAAGAACTTCTCGTCACACTCACTCATGCCCACCACTCAGCTGGTCCTTCATACTTTGAGGGAGCAGGGGCAAGTTGAGACAGGCTTTCACTCTACCCCAGGGTGGCCTGGTATTTGCTACATACTCATGGCAGTAGGGTTACTGCCTTAGCCTTCCCAGTGTTGTGATTACAGGTGTGGCCACCATACCTTGTGTGTGTGTGTCTTACTATGTAGTCCTGCCTGGCCTGGGATTAGCTATGTTGGTAAGACTGGCCCCAGACTTGCCCCTATCCTTCTGTCTCAGCCTCCCCTAGTATTGGGATTTCAGGTGTGAACCACCATGCCTAGCTGAACATTTTTTATTCTTTTTTTAATGATGAGCAATCTTTTTTTTTAAGATTTATTTATTATGTATAGTTTCTGCATGCCAGAAGAGGGCACCAGATCTCATTATAAGTGGTTGTGAGCCACCATGTGGTTCCTGGGGATTGAACTCAGGACCTCTAGATGTGTAGTCAGTGAGTGCTCTTAACTTCTGAGCCATCTCTCCAGCCCCATTTTTGATTCTTTAACAATAAACAATTCCATATTGTTCCCATGTAACAAACAGGAAAACTGAGGCTCCAGCTGCCCAAATAGTACTGAGACCAGAAGGAGCTGGGACTGTCTCTCCTTGCACTCAGGAACTGCCTCCCCAGCCCTTCATCCCTCTCCCCGGGTGTGGAATGGGTCTCATGCATCTAGCCTGTGCCCCTGTAGGGACAACGTACTTCGGAACCTATCAGACAAAGCCTTTGACCGGCCCATCTGCGAAGCCTTGTTGGATCAGAGATTCTTCAATGGCATTGGCAACTATCTGCGGGCAGAGATCTTGTACCGGTCAGCAGGCAGGCTATGGGCACAGTGGCTGGGGTGGGACGTGGGCAGTCACATCCACTACTTAGCCTGTGCTCTCCTCACCATCCCAGGCTGAAGATACCTCCTTTCGAGAAGGCCCGTACAGTTCTAGAGGCCCTGCAACAGTGCCGGCTGGTGAGGACATGTGTGCCGGTGTGGGCGGCAAGGGTACGGGTAGTCAGGTGTTTCTGCCTTAGCTCACCAAGTGTGTGGAGGGGGTGTGGAGCACATCAAAGGCCTTGCCAAGCTTAGAGAGGAGTCCATTGTCTTCAGTGTGAGGTGGGGTGAGTTCCCTGTGTTAACACCTTGGTTCTGACCACCTACCCTTCAGAGCCCAGAGCTGACCCTGAGCCAGAAGATCAAGGCCAAACTGCAGAACCCAGACCTGCTGGAACTATGTCACCTGGTGCCAAAGGAAGTGGTTGAGCTGGGTGAGGCCTGGGGAAGCCAAGATGGCCAGTGATGTCTGCTTTAGCCTCTGTGAGATGCTGAGCAGCTATCTTCTTGGTCCCAAGGAATGGGGGCTTGCTAAACAGACCAGGTCTCTTGGCAAATTTCCACTTCCTCCCAGCCTCCTATGCAGTAGGAGGGACAAGGATTCACCTTGCTGATGGAGAGGAGCCAGGACCCGGAGTGAGGGGACACCAACCTGTCACAGTGGGAGGAGGGAGTGAGGTGGGGCTGACCCAGTCCGTGAGCTTCTTTAGCTGAGGGCTGAGCCATGCTGAACCACACTCCTTGTTCCTCCCACTCCACAACACCCCCCTCGCCTCTGACTGATTCCTCTGTCCCTCAGGGGGCAAAGGCTATGGGCCAGAGCGCGGAGAGGAGGATTTTGCTGCCTTTCGAGCCTGGCTGCGGTGCTATGGCATGCCAGGCATGAGTTCCCTGCGAGACCGGCATGGCCGTACCATCTGGTTCCAGGTTTGAGCCCTGTTGTTCACATGCAGCTGGTGGGGTAGTAAGATAGGTCTGAGCCAGGTAGAGATGACCTTAGCCTGTGGAGGCCTGCCAAAGATCACGTTGTTCCTAAGTGTATAGTTCTCCAATGTGATGCTCTTCTCCTTGGAGCCCCAGGGTCCAAGCCAGTCAAGGCAGCTAACGTGCGTGCGTGTTGGGGGGTGCTGGCTATATGGATCTGAAAGGATGCAGTCTTGCCTGTTCACCAGACCAGGTTGACTCTAGAATTGTCCTCATTTCGTTTTAGGGTGATCCCGGGCCCTTGGCACCCAAAGGTAAGCAGCTCTTAATGTACAAGATAAAGAGGTGAAAGGCCAGCCATCCTCCCCATCTTGGAGTCACCTAGCAATGAGTCTAGAGGAGGGCTGAAGCCCTAGGGCTAACTCCAGGGCAACATCTGACAGGGGGCAGATCCCGGAAGAGGAAGCCAGAGGGGACTCAGCTGGGGACTGAGGACAGAAGAGAGGTATGAGCACCAGCCCGCCAGCCAGCCGGCCCACCCGCCTCCTCTGCGCTGACTCTTGCCAACTCCACATCTTGGGCCAGGCTCCTGGCCAGCTGTCTCCCTCTCTCCCGGGGGTGTTGGTGCATGGTGGGGAGTGTCAGTGGTGGTTCCTAACGCATGTGCACACACCCGTGAGCTGCTGGGAAGAAAACGATAAGGACCGCCTTCTCTATCCAGGACCTTTCACTTTCAAGCAAGTCCATTTCCAGGACTCGGAGGCCCAGGAAACAGCCCCCTAAGACGATAGCACAACAGTCTGAAGGGACCAGCCTCCAACAAAACCAGGAAACCCCCCCCAAGAAAGGAAAGAAACGGGAGCGACCAGCAACCACAGGTGGACCTTTTTCAACATCCCAGAGCTGGAAAGGGACCCGGGGAGTAGCTCTCCAGGGAGGATAGGAAGTAACACAGGGTGGACAGAGAGGAAGGCCTAGTTCAGGACACACAGTCACTGCCTCACCTGCTCTCCCCACAGGCCGACGCAGACCCCCCAAGAGTAAGGCCAATATCCAATCCAGGGAGGCTGGAGGAGCTTCAGCCTCATAGACGGATGTTTCCTTCTTTGGACTCTATTCCCTGCTGCCTTGCTATGAATCTAGGGGCGTGTCTGAATCCCTGGATTACAGGTGTGAACCACCACACCCTACTGATTTTTTTGTTGTTGTAGTCTTTTCAAGATGGGGTTTCTCAGTGTAGCCCTGGCTGTCCTGTACCTTGCTTTGTAGACCAGGCTGGCCTCTGCCGCCTGAAGGCTGGTATTAAAGGTGTGTGCCACCACCTCCTGGCTTGTGATATTTATAAATACATGCTATCTTCCACATGCTTTTTAAAGCCCATGTGAAAGCATTAACAAACTAGTAAGTTTGAACTTCTTAGGCTGGCTGCATAAGATATAAGAGGGCCAGGTTGGAAAGACATGCTGCATGGCTCTGCCTATTTATAAATGTAATTAACCCCCTTCCACCCCTACCCTCAATCCTTCACCCACTCAAAACTCAATCAGAGGACAGTCTGACTCTGCAGACCTGGGCTCAGGCAGTCCAGCATGCTTTAGGGCCTATGGTTGGATGTACCCAGCCTAACACTTGCCTAAAGCTTTCTTCCCCCTGAGGGTGGTGGGATGAGGAGGTGTGTGTGTGTGTATGTGTGTGTGTGTGTGTGTGTGTGTGTGTGTGTGTGTATGTGTGTGTGTAGGGGGGCTGGCAGACTCCAGGCCTCCTGTCCAGCCCTAGCACCTCTGCTGCTGACACAGGAGGAACACTTTATCTCAAGGTCCCTTGGCTTATGGTCACCTGAGGTCTCCAGTATCTCAGATAGGGCCACAAGCCAGACCCTGCACACAGAGGTAACCTTAGATCTCTCCATCCTCCTTGCAGCCCAAGGAGTGGCCCTAAGAGGAGCAGCAAGGCTGGATTAGACAGGGCTGCTGATGTAAGCATTTATTGCACAAGATGCTCATTTTGGGCTGGGGAGGTGGAAATGAGGACCCAAAGCCTTCCACACACCAGACTCAGTGTGGAGGGGGCTGAAGTACGAGCAGTAGGGACCGCACTTGAAAGGGAGAAAAGGTAAGCTTCAGGCGGTTGTCCCCAAGGGACAAGTGACCAGTGGGGTCTCGCTGCTCCAGCAGGTCACAACTGGATGGAGAAAAGGAGAGGTCATAAGGACTGACAAGGGCAGGGCTCCCACCTCTACGTCTCTCTCATTTCCACTCACAGAATGGCCTCCCGAACGGGCAAGGATGTGTACAGCCAGCAGTCCACGTGGCTGCCATGGGCTTCATACAGCCTCAGAACCAGTGTGCGGTGCTCATGGCTCTTCTCAGCCTGTGAAAGGAAGGAAGGCCAGTGGGCGGGGCCAAGAACCTGTCTATCCCAGGGACCTCCCCAGACTCCCTGGCCCTTGCCTGCTTGATGGTCTCCAACACCACTGCTGGAGAAGACACAGAAAAGGCACTCCAGGTGGTGGCAGGTGCTGGGCCTGGAGCTGGCAGTGCCAGCAGAGGAAAGTTGAGGTTGTAGGCAGCATGGATAACACCAGCCTCTTGAAAGGAGCCTGGGGAAGGACCAGAAAGAAGCACATGTGGACAATGGGACTCCCCGCAGTGCCTCTGGAGGAGATATGGGGATGAGCTGCCTCAGTTTACCACAGTGCCTGCTGGAGATTCAGGAAAGGGCAGAGAGGCGTCAAAAGCAGCAGAAGGGTCCCATCACCCTGGTACTAACCCTTGTGTGGCATCAAGGCATAAGTGAATTCATGGTGCCCGATATCGGCAGTAACATCTGGGGCCTTAGGTGCACGCAATCTGGAGTAGGAGGGGAGAGACGGGAGGGCTGGAGTTCCCGCGCAGGAGGCCCCACACACCCACGCCGGCCCTGGCAGGCACCACACTCACAGTGAGAGGCTGAGGACATTGCCTCGTACTGACGCTCCATACTTGCAGTTGTTGAGCAGGGCCAGCCCAAAGTCACACTCAGACAGATCTATCCAGCGGTGGGCCCACACCTGAAGGCAGACCCAAGGCCTATGGGTGGCTCTTATCCCAAAGCTCTTTTCAGTAGGAGCTATGGTTGCAACTTAGCTGACACCCAAGAAAGCTTTGGGCATGCCATACCACCTGTGTCCCTGCCTCCCGCCTGCCTGGTAACAGAGTCTATAGCATCAAACCAAAGTAAAGGATTTAGCAAATGCCTGGCCTGTGTTAGGAACCACAGGTGTCAGGCACTTTTCTCCTCTGCTCCACAAACTACAAAACCATCGCTCCTCAGTCAGGGATGAGTTCAAGCCCCACCCTTTCCTCCATTTCCCACCTCATATCGAGCCCAGTCCCAGGAGGTGTTATAGTGGGTAGGCCTCTGAAGGTGCCCAAACTGGATCTCATAGGTAGCCTGGGAGCTCCGTACTCGAGCAGGGAACTCCACCTTCAGGAACTTGTGGGCCTCATGCCATTCCACCTGGGAGTGGAATGGAGGGCGGGGACAAGAGAAGGGCATTAGACCTCCTCACCAGGCCCATCTGGGAAGAGGGCCACTACCCTGCCCCTTCTACCTCAGTGTGGAAGCGGACATAGGGACAACCAATGTCCAGCACAACCTCCTGGCTGAGCCGACTGCTGGGGCTGATCTGCAGCAGGAACCAGGCACTGCCCCGAAGGCCACCTTCAGTGCCTACTGCCAGGGTCCCCGCCTGGCCCCGCACAGGCTTCCTATAGGATGAAGGTGGGAGGCACTAAGCCAGAGCAGCATGTATCCACACCCACGACCACCCCCGGGACCTGCCCGGTATGTACCGTGTCTCTAGATGATAGTCCATGACATCCCAGGCATCCCAATACAATGGCACGTCATCAAACAGCACAAACTGGTTCCCCAGGGCACCCTCAGCGATGGCCTCCCTGGAGGGACATAGGGACAGGGGCTTCACAAGGTATGACTTTGCTCTCTCCAGCTATACTCGGTGGGGACAGGTTAAATAGGGCCAGGACCCAAGGGCCTGCTAGCCAGCCTGCCCTGCCCCATGTGTAGGTTCCAGCCCAGAGGCACGGAGACTACTTGGACAGAGTGGGGGCTAGGGAACAGAGGGAAGAGGCAGAGTTTGGGATCTCCTTGCCAGACACAGGGTTAAGAACAATGAAGGGTTGGCACCTGCCAGAAGCCACCAGAACCAGGGAAGTAAGACAGCCAGTTGGGTCCAGTCTCACCCGGATGATGCCATTGTCCAGTGTCACAGAACCGTCAGTCTTGGGTGGGAGAGTGCTCAGCTGAGTTAGCTGTGTTCCCCACCCCCACCCCAGCCCTCTTAAAGTCAGGCATTTCCCCAGAACCTTGCTCAAGACCAAGGAGCACCCCAGAGTAAGCCCCACTCCATCGGGAGCTGCTAGGACTTACCTCCTGCACCACAAACACAGGCTGCTGGGGCAGCAGGGGCTGCAGGGAAGTAGGGGTGGGAGCAGGGGCATAGCCAATACTGGGCACTGTCACCAGGGCTGGGAACAAGACCTGGGCATCAGTGTCACCTCTCTGACCTTCTAGAAAGCTTACTCAGGTTAAGGATATGTTGAATGGGATAAGATGCAGCTACTTCTCTCCAGATTGGGGTACCCCAAGATAGAGATCCCTAGGGAAGTATCCCCGCCACACTGCCTAGCCTTGGCTCCTCCTGCTGCAGGACCATCCTTCCCCTTCAGCTCATACCTAGGCTGTGAGCCCCACCAGGCTTGGGCAGTGCCAACACTTCAGTGCGCTTCCAGGGTAGCGTGTTGATAATGAGGAGGCCCTCAGGACCTGGCTCCCCAGCGCACAAGGCTGCGGCTGCAGCACTGAGCAGCATATTGCCATGGGAACGGATGTCTGAGGAGAGATGCGTTTGATCATGGGTGGGGAATGGGTTCCACTTGACCCTGGGTGGAGAGCAGGAAACTCAGGTCAGCCTCACCGTCATAGTAGCTCATGGCATCTTCTGCCACCAGTTGAATGCAGCTTCCAGTCAACACGTCATGGAACTGGTTGAGGAGTAGGAGCCTGCAGGACCAAATGCAGAGACAGGGAAGGCTGGGAAGGCTGGCCAAAGAGAGGGTGGGAAGTCAGGTGAGCAGCAGGGACATCTGACCGACCTCCAGAGATGCTGCAACTGGGCTGCCGGGTACAGGAACTGGGCACTGCGGGCTAGGGCCAGGCTGCTCAGCAGCTCCACGTCGTGGAGGATTTGCTCACACTCTCGGTTCCTCTTCTTGAGCTGTGCCCAGGGAGGGAGACTCTAAGTCTGCTGTGGTCCAGGATACCTTCCAAAGCTCTCTGTTGCTCAGAACCCTTGACAGCCTCCCAAGGCCTCCTGGACACGGCCTGTCATGGGAAACTTACCCCAAGTGGCCTCCCACCAGAACCCTCCTCCAGAGAGGCTGTCCCACCTCCTGCCTGTGTGCAGGATTAACCCAGCTATTGTACCTCTTCTTCAAACCTCTACTTGGGAGGAGCCACTGAACTCCACCTCTGCCCCCCCTTTCCCCACAGCCCTATACAGACCAAGGCCCTCTGTTTGCTAGGCTGGTAGCCTGGCCCTGACCTGGGCATGGGTGGTGTAGGTGCCATTGTGTAGTTCCAGGAAGAGTTCCCCAACCCACGTGCACAGCTGCACCGAGTCTTTCTCCAGTGCTGTGAAGAGCTGCCCAGGAGAAGACAGCTGCACCCTGAGGAAGACCACAGGCCTGAGTTCCCAGTTGGGAGCCCTATAGTTTGCTCTTCCTCTATAGTGAAGACCAGAGGGCCCCGACAAAAAGGACACGCCCTGGAAAATTCCCTACAGATAGTGCTGCACTCAAGTGGGGTCAAGCCCCTTCCTACATCAGAATTTCCCTCTACCCTATCCCCAGAGTGGGAGTTTGGAAGATAGATGGGCCAGGATATGAGAGATACAGGGTCCAGTGGAGGGGCTGAGCTTGATATATAAACAAAGGGCAGACTCAGGGCGAGGGCTTGAGGGTGGGGCTACATGAAGGTGGCTTGAGAGCCAAGGGCTGATGTTGGCTCAGGCCTGACCTGGGCAGCCCATCAGTGTTGCCCAAACGCTTGAGGCGGTCCAGCATGGTCTGTGTGGGGCCACCACCCCCATCCCCGAAGCCAAAGAGGAAGCCGCTGTGGTTGGTCCGGC